TTTTCCTTTTGGCACTGTTCAACGAGCTTCATTGGCAAATCTTCTGGCTTCAAGGTGCATTAATGAATTTCGGTGAAAGTGAGACCTGATCTTAACGCTGCGTATAAGGCTTTTCGTCTGAGCCGGTCTGCCAACGTCTTCACGATTTCTCATATGCCATGGACGCAAGATTCCCCATTTAGTGGTCGCGTGAATTCGGAGTATGTACATGCAAACAACCTGTCATTGACCTCCCTTTGTGACTGTTTCTATGCGGTGGGATGGCTGTTCTGTACGTGGAATGAGGTTTCTCTCTGCAGGCATGATATCATCTCTGCTGTACCTTTACCTGAAGACTGTCACTTTCGCGACTGCACTGAGCTCATTTAGTACCGTCAACAGTCAGCAAAACACCCCGAACGTGAGCAGACCTCAAGCATAGTCTACATGTCTTCCGCGCTCATTCCCATGGTAGTCCTCATTGAATTGAACTCTGAAGTTTGCACTGATGTAGTTCCGTCCAACGAGTATTGTCAGACTGGGCCCATGTGGGGACCACCCCTGAGGTGTCAGCCGCGACTGGGTCCGTGTGGGGACCACCCCTGATGGTGTCAGCCGCCGACTGGGTCCGTGTGGGGACCACCCCTGATGGTGTCAGCCGCCGACTGGGTCCGTGTGGGACCACCCCTGATGGTGTCAGCCGCCGACTGGTCCGTGTGGGGACCACCCCTGATGGTGTCAGCCGCCGACTGGGTCCGTGTGGGGACCACCCCTGATGGGGTGTCAGCCGCCGACTGGGTCCGTGTGGGACCACCCCTGATGTGTCCCCGCCGACTGGGTCCGTTGGAGACCACCCTTGAATGGTGTCAGCCGCCGACTGGGTCCGTGTGGGGACCACCCCTGATGGTGTCAGCCGCCGCAAGTGGTGGCGGAAGCTGAAGGGTATTGTGACAGACCGTGTGACTGTCTGTGTGACGGGCCATGTGACGATCGTGTGGTGGACCTATGACGGACTTTGACGTACCTGTGGCGTTACGGACCCATGTGTCAGCCGCCCACGTGTGGACCGTGTGACGTGACGGACCGTGTGACGTGACAGGCCGTCGGACGGACCGTGGTGACTCGCTGTGTGACAGCCCGATCGGTGACCCGTTTCCGGTCCCCAGGTGGAGTGCGCCCGCTCCACGAAGACGGCAAAAGCGGCTGGTGCGGCCCCATGTCCGACTCAGCATGCTGTGTGTACCTGGCCAACAACGTGACCAAGGGCGCCTGGGTTGGAGCCGACGACCGGCTGCGGCAGGGGCTGACGGACAGGTGGGCAGGCTGCGGCAGGGGCTGACGGACAGGTGGGCCGGCTGCGGCAGGGGCTGACGGACAGGTGGGCCGGCTGCAGCAGGGGCTGACGGACAGGTGGGCAGGCTGCGGCAGGGGCTTACGGACAGGTGGGCCGGCTGCAGCAGGGGCTGACGGACAGGTGGGCAGGCTGCGGCAGGGGCTTACGGACATGGTGGGCCGGCTGGCAGCAGGGGCTGACGACAGGTGGGCAGGCTGCGTCAGGGGCTTACGGACGTGGTCCGCTGCGGCAGGGGCTTACGGACAGGTGGGCAGGCTGCGGTAGCGGCTGCCGGACACGTGGGCAGGCTGCGGCAGGGGCTGACGGACAGATAGGCTGGCTGCGGTAGAGGCTGACGGACAAGTGGGCAGGCTGTTGGCAGGGGTTGACGGACAGATGGGCTGGCTGCGGTAGAGGCTGACGGACAGGGGCTGGCTGGTGGGTGGGCCTGACCCCTGCCGAGCGGCGGGTCATCCGCTCCAGCGACGCTGCCGAGCTCCGACACCGAGCTCCGCGCCTGACCGTCGTTCAGCTGTCGTCGGGTGTCGGGTCCGCGCGTGTAACAGCTGACCGTCGTGTGGCCGTTCACATCCTGCTGAAGTCGGACCGGCGTGTCTTGTCTCTGGTAGAAGCTGAGTTACAGGTCCTGTAGCACGGGGCCAACGCCGGGACACGTCCACTGACACGTCGGGGCCCGACTGCCGACAGTGGCGAGTCCCCTTACTGACCGCGGTGCTTGCGGCCATGCCGCTGCCCGGCGGACTCCTGGCCGAGGACGCCGCGAACCAGACCACCCCGCCTCGACAGTGCTGGGTGGCCAGCTGCCCGGTGGCTGCATGGCTGTCCAGGACGGCGGCTACGCTGTGGTCGACTGCGGGGAGCAGCGGAGTCACCTCTGCGAGTACACTGGGAGCACCCGCTGCCCGACCGGCTTCGTCCGACACCAAGGCAACTGCTACAAGGTGCCAGCCGAAACCGTCTGCCGCTGTGGTATGCTGCGGCCGCGGATGTTTGCAGTCTGCCGTCCAAAAACGCGTTGCTTGTGAAATGGTGCTCCTGCTGGTGTGTGTCCGCGACGGCGCGATGGACACACAGCCGGTGCGTTCAGAGTACGGACAGGACACGAGGAGCTGTCTCCGGGGCAGAGGACTGGGCGGACGCTGGTTGAGGACGCGGATGGAGTAGGTGCTGGTGTCGCAGATTAGAACGGCTGCTGGCATGGCGTCGCAAACGGCTGCTGGCACCCGCACTCGGCCCAGGTTACGACATCCGCTGCCGGCTGCGGCCGCTGCCTCCGATGATCACCGCCAGCAGACCAGCGCCGCCGTCGCCCATCCGGACGCGTGCCCGGGCCGCTGGCGACGCCTCCGACTGTGACCGGGGCCGGGCCACTGACGGGCGCGCTCGGCTCCCGCAGGTGCAGGCCGAGGACGAGACGGACGCCGCCTACGCCGAAGCCGAGCGACGCTGCGCCTTCCACACCAGCTTCGTGGCCGCCGATCCGCGACGTTGCGAGAGGCCGCCTTCCTGAGCCAACTGATGACGTCAGGTGGGGTGACGTCATCCCCGACAGCGCCAGCGTCGCTCCGCCACTCTTGGGTCGGCGGCTGGCCGTGATAGATCTACGTGTGACGTCACGGCTAAACACAATCATGGGACTCGCTTCTGTTCCACTCCCAAAGGCCTTACAATGTTCTCACTTATCAGTTCTGAGATCATACCGTGATCCGCGGAGTCGCCGCGGTCAGAAACGCTCCTCAACCTCGTGTCCTTTGACCTCCACGTGTAGCTCCGGACCGCGCCGTGCGCTCCAGCGCAGCGGGCGCGGGAGGGGAGGGGGCGCCCTGCCACGCCCTCTCTCACTCGTTCCGTCTCGTGTCCGCAGTGGGGCCAGCTCCTCCTACTGGGTGGGTCTCAGCTCGGACGAACCGGACGACACGGGTCTGACCTACCCCGGACGAGGAGGCGTTCAACGCCACCGACCACACGCGATTTGCGGCACCGCCGACGCTGGCGGCGCCGGCCTGCACCGTTGCCACCGAG